CTCAGGATTCGATTTACATATCATCTTCCGTCCAATTAACGCGAGATATCTCAAGGTTCTATAGAAACACAGTGGAAAATATTTTTTGTTGACAAGCGCATGGAAAATCCTGTTTCGCGATAACTCTGCAAACTCTCGTCGCGAGCACGTCGTGTTTTCGTTTATCCGCGAAACGAATAATCTAATCGATGTTTTTTTTTTTTTTGCCGAAGCAGCCGCTTTTTTCATTGAAATATCTCCTTTCGATAAGAACGTCGCGTCGTCGCTCTCGAAATGTTGTGCGTGTTATATATGTGTTTCAAATCATTAATTTCCAGCCATTTTGCCTCATGCATCCTCTCCATTATACAGGATGTTCCAAAGTTTATTTTCTTCATTAAAAAAATTAGTAAAGTTGTACGTGAATTAGTAATATATTTATGTGCGTTACTTTATCGATGCAAAACTGAATTTATCGATTCAATTATTAAGTGGACCGAATTTCACATCAATGCGCAGTTAATTAATTCTGATTAATTCATTTCTTACTCTGCAAATAGCAAATACTTCTGTATTATAGATTTTTGCTCTTAAAGATAACGAATGTTTTTTCATAAGTAGAAATTCGAAGATGCAAGGTCTGATAACGTAAGAAATTGATTCTCCTTGGCCACTGTTGAAATCGTAATGACCGTGTTTGTCAAACTTCGTATTTTTGTTAAGGCATTTATTTTTGTTGTGAACTGAATAGTAAACTTTAAAACATGTTTGTTCTATTATATGCTCATAATAATGACAAATTCACCATCTCATATACATATATCTCAATCGACAATTTAAGTGGGTTTTTTATTAGCATAAAATTTAAGAAAATATCGACTAAACGTTAAGTAATGCTGTCAAATAACACCTCAGAGTCTAATCTTTCAGTCACGATTAATTATACTCCAAATGAAATTTCATTATATTGTACATATTTCTTTTTATTCTTCTTGAGAGATGTTTTAACGACTTGGCTCGAAAACTGATTACAGTTTACAATACAGTAAAAGTGATAGACAGAAATTTAGATGTAATTAATTAGATTAATTAACTCAAGATTGTTTCTCGAAAGCTTGGAATAGTAAAACAAGAAAAAAGAAAATTAGACACGAATGTGAACAACTCAGTTTTCCTACAGTCAACATGATCTTGTATTTTCAGCGTTAATGAATGAAATAAAATAGCACGAGCTGTTTAGTAAAATTTCTGAGAAAGCAGAATTA